ACGTTGTGCATGTCATATAATTAATTTAATAGTAAAATCCGGTTTAAAATCAATGTCAGGTCATATTAAAAGAATTAGAGATAACATTGCTTGGATTCAAGGTAGTAATCAAAGAATACAAGATTGGTTTAGATATGCCCATAAGATGGAACTCCACTTATATAATGCTTAAACAATGCATCCCCTATAAAGATGCTATAACAAATTATGTTAGTGCAAAATTAGGACCAGAATTTATAGATGAAATTGATTGGCAAGTTGCCGCACTCTTGTATAACTTTTTAGGTAGATTTCACGAAGTTACCTTAAAGCTTAGTGGAACTTATTACCCAACGTCACCATTAGTGTTAGGAGAACTTTTAAGAATGTCTATTTTATTTAGTGAATTTAGGACACACGAGGTTTTAGGAGTTCCTATCGCCTCTATGGAAAAGAAGTTTAAGAAATATTGGTCTAAATTACCCATGTTGTATGGTTTCGGTGTTATTTTCGACCCTAGATTAAAATTAGAAGGTTTAGAAAGTGGATTAGATAACTTAGGTGAATTTTTAGCTATCGACACTACTGACTAATTTCCTATTATAAAGGAAAAAATATTTTCTCTCTATATCTCTTACGAAAGTAGGTTTAGAAACACATCTCGTGTTGAACAACCGCAACAACAAGACGACAATCCGCATTCATTCTTGAATGTTTTTGGGTTGTCTAAGAAGAAGAAGAAGACGACGACTCAAGGTCAAGAAGAATCTAGGAGTGGATCTTCGTCAAGAGGTGGCGGCAACAACGGCGGATTCAACGAGTTAATGGCGTACCTGAGTGAGTGCTTAGTTATAGACAGTAGTGAAATGTTTGATTTCGTTCAGTGGTGGAGGGCACGAGCATTAACTTGGCCGATCCTAACACGACTGACAATGGATATTTTTTCAATCCTGGTCTCCATTGTTGCAGCCGAACAAGCATTCAGTACAACCGGCCGAATATTGAAGAACGGAGAAACGCATTGCAACAGGATATTGTTGAAGTTTTGGTGTGCATCAAGGATTTGGATCGTTCCGACCAACACTCACATGATACAATCTCACCGGCAAGCCAAGAATGGATCGACGAGTTTAATAGATTAACTTTTAATTTTCAAGACGATCATTCTGCTTCAAATTAAATTTTATTATTGTAATTTGTAAATATTTATTTACTTTGTAATTTCTAATTTGTATAGTGTTATTGTAATAGACTTTGTAA